AGATCGTGGTGAAAATTCGTAAGAACATCGAACGTGCGAACGTGTAACGGATATAGCCATTTTTTTCAACCGGTACAAAGGCGAAGACGGGAAATCACGGATGGCTGACCATCCGTCCCGCGCCTCGCGTTTCTTCCTCTTCTTTGTCGATGGAACTATCGCGAACCCACCACCCCTTTGTTCTTCACCCTTGCTCGAACCGACGGCCAAGAGGCAATCTTGACCACAGTCTGGCGAGTGTCAGTTTTTGCGGTTACAAGTGGTTTGTTCCTTCTTCGTTTGCAAGGATTTCCTGTCCGCTTCCTTCGCAAATGATCGTTATTCATTCTCACCCCCTTCTCCCCACTTCACTCTCATCGTGAGAGGATGTTGGGGAAATTTTGAGAGAAAAAATGAACCTCGTATTTGATAGGTGGGTTTTCAAATTTTATTCTCTATTATTTACACTTTCTTTTCGCACCTTTCACATGTCTTTACGCACTACGAGGTTTATCCCTCTAAACCGGAAGTATTTCGTATAGTGAATATAAAGTCTTGATAAATGGGCGATTAAAAGCTCTTTGTTACAGTCAAGGCCATTTGTAGTGATTCCACCTATCTAAACAGTGATCCTAACCTAAGCTCCTTACAAGATGTGCCGCAGCTCGGATCTAATAGTATTTTGTTCCAGTTACTCAAAAGAACGACTAAAAAAAAAAGGTCTTGGACCATTGAATACTTTTGCTGCTAGTTTTTGCTAGAGCTGTGGGTGGGAAAAAATTAAAAAATTTCCATTTTGATTCACTCAATTTCATAAGGACAGAATTATGATTGAAGCTACAGTGCAATAACCTTAAAATATCAGTTACAAGCAAAAGTGAAGAAAGTTTCACGTTCGTGGAAACGTCAGCTCGTCTAGTGTTACACAATAATCCATCGTCAAGCGCAATTAGTGAACGGTCGGCTGCACGTCGTTCTTAACGTATTTACATTCCAACCACTGTGGAGTCTATGCTCGTTGGCATGACGTAATCCGTCGACGATAGCTGGTCAGCTCGAGTTGAAACAAGCGTGTGTACCCTTCGTCTGTGTTTTTACACAGAGAAATCAAACGCAACGGTCCGGCGTGCTTGTTATGTTTACTGTTCCAGGCCGGTCGCGACCGCGTATCCGCTGCGTGCGGCTATATCGTGCGAGCCTTCGCTAAACGGCGCTGGCTTGACCCTTTTGTTCCGCCAGAGTACGCTGCAAAGACGCCGCTATGCCTCTCGAGTGAAACGATGTACACAATTCCGCCATTCGAACCGCTGAAAATACATTCACGCGGTCATTTCCAGTCGATGCGTGAAAACTGATGGATGCAGTCTCGGTGTTGAAAGTGAAAAACAACTATACTTGACGTTTTTATGTAAGTAGTATACACATAGTATATACATTTTAAAGATTTGTATGATTGACGTTTATGGTAGAGTTATGGTGAGAAGTTTATATGGTTATTGTAATGGATATGTTAGGTTATCTGCGTAACACATTATTCCCAGCGATAAACCAATAATTGACTGTTTTTACGATTGGACACGTCTTCAAATATTTAAATGCAACATAACGAACACGACTAATTGATGGAAATACCACGGTGAGAGGTAGCAATTGGCGTGTATTAAATGGTGAGCAAATTGAATAATAAACGTTGGGAACGATGCGTTGAAGACGGGATTTGAACGGAGGAAATTAACTGTTACGCTTATGTCGTTAATTAGCCGTTCCTGTTTATCTCACTGAGACCGGTAGTGGTCACATCGTTGATTTCTGTCGGCTCTAGGTCAACCAAAAAATAATATGTCACCGAGGGGTATCTCTGTAGCCCAGGGGCGGAAAATAATGGTAACGATAAGGTTCACAGCCATCTGCGTTTCGCATATGTTTATATGTTGCGTAGCATATACGTATATACTCGTGGTATCCTAGAAGCGATATCGTTTCATAACCTCCCATTGTACTTGATTGCGAGAACATGTAGACACACACGAATATTATAGGGCCACCTTCCTCTCTCGGTACACGCAGCTGCTTGGGGGTGAGAGAGAGAGAGAGAGAGAAAGGGGCGAAACACAAGGGTGAAAATGCTCCTAGGAATACGAAAGGAGAATCACAAATTGGCTCATGCTCTTTCAAGTTGTAGTATATACTACCATGTTTTCAGAAATGTTTCTTTGACGATAGTTTTGTAACACGTTCTTTCATATTCATGATGTAATTTAAAACAGAACACCTGTTACTTGGTTTAACACCTTGTCTTATGAGTCCTGTAGCGGCTAAGTGGATCAGAAAGGGTAAAATGTTATATATAATTAAAATTAAAATTTATTACAAATTTAACCTTCTTGTATCGTATCTCAATCACAATCTACAACACAACGTTATAATGAACAAGAGTTAACAAACTCTATAAATATCCCTGTATTCATTTCTCGTGCCTACAGGGTGGTTCAAAAGTAGTCGTGTTGCTATTAATCCTTATTTTCCTTGCGTGACGAAGTGACGTTTAGCAGCGGAAGTAGCAACTGTTGTTCCCAGTGAAACCGAACTCCCTAGAAACTTCTCATCAATCACTAAAGTATCGAGAGAAAACATAAGTCCCATGTGAGCTCTCAAACGACAGGTCACGTGATTTTTTAGCGATTCGTTAACAGCCTCACTAACTCCTTTCTATTAAACAGCCGTTCAATGACCAATAAAAATCTCTCATTAATAAAATCCTCTGCCTTTATTGTTTCCACTTTTTTTTCCTTGCCCTTCACGATGATCGCCATCGCCACCGCGAAATACGGCGCATGCGCATGTCACTCTGTCACGCACGTGGCAACTGTGTTACAACGCAGGAAACGCGCGTTTCCATCTCTTCGCAGCTGTTTTACATCGTCGAGAGAAACTCGCATAAAACGCAAATTGATACACCCTGTAATTGAGCTTCTAATTGGCGGAGCCTAGCAATGCAATCTTGGCCAGCTCGAACACATTGACTTTCTGCAGGTGCACATATGTTTACGTTCCTGGCTGTGGACAAGTCGGGAATACGTTATAAAGTGGTCGGTCGCGAGGGAATGCTAGGAACCGAAAGGGGAGTGCCGTCTCAGGTGGAATGTCTCCTGTACACAGGCCGCGTCGCAGGGAAAAAAAGTGAACGTCGCGAAATTCGTGAAACTATGCAAATAAATACATGCGCGTGATTTGTCGGGTGATTCGTTGCGTGACGGGGTTGATTGAGAAGCCATATTATTGGATAGTATACACGTTTATTAAAGGAAAATCTTCGTAAGTAAAATAACCTAACAATCTATTTCCACACGGTTCTGCTTCGTTGTAAGGTTACACGTAATACCTGTCGTATCGAAGAGGTTATGTTATCGTGTTGATATTACCATTTTATTTGACATTCACGATTTCCGTAGAAGTGGTGTGTTCACGGTTTGCTTTTTGCGTTAATGGTATGCATGCAAATAAATTCTCGGAAATGGGATAAAATTATCACAATGATAAATCGATCGTAGATAACACGTCGATTAGAAAACCAAATGCAATAACCAGAAAAATTTACCGACCGAGGGCAATATATTTAAATGTTAAGGGTATCGTGGAGTTCAACAATTAGGCGAGGTGTCCAATCGCTGTATATGTATTCCACAATGTAGCTCCCATGAGAACTCATTAGATATTCGGTTGAATTTAGATACATCGACCATCTCTGGATTCGTAAATTTACAGAACCCACAAAAAAAAAACTGTTTCCTTTAAGTAGAGAACGATTTTTCGAAACAATAACCTAATTCGTAGAAAATTTATCAAAACTCTACAATGTTTCTACCGCGCATGCGCAGTGGTAATTGCACAGAAGAAACGACTAATTTCCTATTTGACGGCAAAACAAAAAATTTCCTTGGAAAAGATCCAGACAAAATAAGAATGGAATGCGCGAAATGCATTTTTTCTGCATTCCCTTTTTCACTTTCTACTTTGTATGGCCATTCGACGAGACCAAAGCGAAGGCAGAACGTGCGTGGAATTCTTGAACATCTGTGTGGTATTCGAATGGTTCCATTCAAATTTGAAAGTGAGAATGGAGCAGACAGTGGCGGCGCAGACCACGTGCACGTGAGACACCTTGTCCACGTGTTCATCGACACGTCATAAACCAACAAAATACATGAAACACACCTATACGTGACACTTGTAAAGACATTTACCCGATACGAATATAAATAAAAAAAAAATATTAAATCACTTCGCAATTATTCCGCCCAAATTATTTGCCGAGAAATTTGTTTAACCGGGGAGGAAGGGAAACTAAGTGAATGAAAAAGAAGAGGTTGCTAAAGAAAGATACAATATTTTGCCAGCGTTCTTCCATTCAGATTTAGCGACCACCAACAGTTTACCCAGTTAGACGATACACGCGAAAAAAAAAGGATAGAAATAGCGCTGGGAATCGCAAATACTCGCTCGAAGGCGATCGGTAACCGTTCTTTTTTTTTCTTTCTCGCGCGTTACGTAAAGGCTTTCGCCTTCGTGGAAGTTCTAACGGTCGCGAGCATCCTTGAGTTTAAATCCCGAGGCACGTGGCCGAACGCAGGACTTCCTATAGCATTCTCACGATCCGCGAAAATATGTGCACACACTGTACATCCACATGTATATAGGCATACGCGCGCGCGCGTGTGTGTGTGTGCATA